CAGCATCTTGGATAGTATCTAAGGGAATATCTCTAGGGATTTCAATAGCAAGATATAACGCACACATTTTAAATTTTCATTTCAATAAAATGATGTGTAACAATTTTTCCAAACGGATTGACAGCTATAAGTCTAAAATAATTGGTTTAATTGGGCAGTTTAGTCCTCAATGAAACAGATAAACGCGCTATTTCGTCCAATTCCGCGATTAATAGTTCATTTCCCACTTTGTTGGTTATAAAGTAACTCATAATTAACTAGATTTGCCAAAATTGTATTAAAATTGACAAATAAACGTCACGTAATTTGGCTTAAACGTTGCGTTTATTTGATTATAGTTTTATCCATCCTAGCATTAGTTTTGAATTGTAAAGGATTAATGTACCTCTGTTGGATTTTGCGATTTTATTTAAAGCCTGTGATGATTATTGTCTATCTTCTCATCATTCAACTTATGGTTTCTGTTAATCACGAAAAAGCTGTCATTAATATAAGATAGATACATACAGTATAGATATATTGAGAATTTTACTCCTAGGTGAAAGCTTATGAAGTTTTCAATCAGAAGTACAAAAGGAGATCATTAATGTTTATCTTTAAAAGTTTTACTTGAGAACATTTATAATCGTCTCATCTTAGATGTAAACTAAATTTGGAACATATTTGTTGATTTTTGGGGTTTTAATTTCTATGCTTAAATACGATCGGAGATATATGCTGTTGTCAATGTAACGTAAAACTACAGACTGAACTTAGTCCCTCGTAGATTTGTCGATTTTGGCTGAGGACGCTTTAAATGTATAGTTTTGACTGGTTACTTGGTATGCTGATGTTTACTATTTATTTATTCTCTGTTATTCCATTACCTTTGAAAGGAATTCAAACAAATAAAAGGTGTTTTCTTTCACCATTGCTTCTTCCCTTGGTATTATAACATAAAAGTAAAACATGAACTGTAAATATAATCAATAATAAGAGGTAAACATTATAACATTATAACAACAATAACAACAAACATTATAAGTGGACAGCATGCTTACGTAAACGGGCGTTTAACGCATCAACATAGGCTTCATATTATTTATATATTATATCATATTATTTATTTATATTATTTTATAACTGGGTGTGAAGTATATCTGCAGGATCCAACATCAATGGTAAAACGTTCGTTGTTAAACGTTTGGATGGGCCTTACTCGATATTTTCACGTTTGTCGTTATGGTTATGGTTTTAATCTCAACAGAAAAACATTTTTAGTAAAATTTTCTTAGTGCATATTAACCCAACTAACCCCCCCCCCCCCCAGCTAATACAAAAAATGTGGTAGAACAATTTCACACCTCAACTTATTCATATTCGTTTGGGTATTTTGTAATGCACTTACTTAATGACCTACTTTATTTCTAATATTTACACGTTTTTAATGAAGTAGTAGTAGCCATTGTTTTCCCTTTCATTCATTCTTAAAATATTGATCTCTAAACATTCATAGTGGTGATTCAACACAAGATTATCAATTTCTATTCACATCTTGACTGTTGTTGGACAGGGGTCGAACCTGGCCAAATGTGAATTCGGGTGCCAAAATCGTGGACTACTCCCGCCAAAATGACGATCCCTGTTGTCGAGACGTGAGATCGGAGTTGTCGTCTGCTAGAGGTAAAATACAGGATCTATCAACACACAAAAAAAAATAAAAAATAATTTGGACAGAGTAAAATATCTAAACATGGGCAGCTCCATAGCTCCATTTTCTATAAATGTTCTATAAATTATAAAAACTCATGTGTTGTTTTTTTTAGTTAAATATTTTTTTAAATTTATTTATAAGTACAAATTTTTAATTGTTAATTATAACACCTATCTTCGTGACGTTATAAGAAAATGTGAAAATTTTTTAAAATCTTGTGGGTATAATCATATTACGACTTTGCACTTGATACCATGAACATTTTGTTAACATATTTTACATGTTAAATACAATTCGTTTCTACACAAAGTGTTGATTATTAACTTTCTTAAACCTCAGGTGTGTTGTATTATACTAGAGTCTACACAAACTGCCTTCTCCGAAACACGAAGTTCGTTCGTTTACCCTCTTGTATTCGCCATTAGATCGATGAGGGACAAATGGCTACATGATGCTCCAATACCGCCTCAGCTTTGTACCTTGTCAAACCATTTGTTACGAGTAAAACCTGCATATTAAGTCACAGTACAGTTTACGGAATTAAACACTTTTTCTGAAATCAAGCAACGGGTTTAACATCAATTGTTTACACCTGGTATTGTTATATACTTGATGATATAATCTATTGTTTTACGCGTTATCAGATATTGTTATACACGTAATCAGCAGGAATTGCTGTACACATTATCAGCGATTGTTATACACGTTATCAGCAGTGTTATACACGTTATCAGCAATATGTTATACACGTTTTCAGTAATTTTTATACATTATTTTATACACTTTATCAGCTTTTGTTTGCATGTTATCAGCAATTATAATACACGTTATCAGCAATTGTTATACATGTTATCAGCAAATGTTATACACTTTATCAGGAATTGTTATACACGTTATCAGTATGGCTATACACTTTATCAGCTTTTGTTTGGCATGTTATTAGCAATTGTTATACATGTTGTCACCATGTTGAATTTGTTATTTACTAATTTTTGTAGATTTTAAATAATTTTAAAAGCCATGTATACGTGTCAACTATGTTGTACAGTTTTTTTTACCAGTATACCATATCATCAAATATTTTTACATACGTTATCAACTACTATAAACACCATTATCCCCTTTTACACAGGTCATCAGTTGATAAATCCCACCATTTTCTACAAAATCCCCATTTCGCCATCTTATCAACCATATTATCAGCTCCTAATAGGCCTCCTATCACCTCCTATCAGCTTTTGTCCTCACTATCATCACCCGGTTATACCATACCATCAGCACCTTTTACACACTTTTCTCCGTTACACACATTATCAGGCATACACACGTTACCTGCTCTACACCGCACTGTCAGCCCCCGCCGTGCTGTGTGGAGGTATGCGGCGCGGCTCGACGGTTCGGCTTTAAGCCACCACGGACGGGGGGTGGCTGTTTTGCATCTTATGAATGTTACATGAGGGGGCGCGTAGGGAGCAGCATTGTCCGAGCTGGCATGACTCACTTTCCTATTCATTGTTTACAAAACTGGATTTTTGTAGATTCTCCACATTTTCCTGTTGTAGGTGAATCCATGTTCGATCTCGTGATTGGTTGTGGTTTTGGTCGATTGTACTCGCGTGTTGGTTGTGTTTGGGTCGTTTAGGTCAGTGTCTTCGAGTGCTTTTGCTGTTTTATGTTTATGATGTTATATTTGTTGTAGGTGTATTCATACTTGCTCAAAAACTGATTTATACTAAATATTTGCAGCACGAGCATAGTAATTTATGTTTATTATTTCATATATGAAGTTAATTTACCATGATTTCGTCTTGTGATTCTTATACTTCCCCTAAGGGTGCATGATGATAGTTAATAATAGACGATTATTTAGGCTATATGTTAAAAAATTTTGGACTTTCCAAAAAATAAATATTAGTTAATTGGTGTAAAATGTACAATTTTCGTTTATTTTATTCAGCTTGTTATTTTTTTTAACTCGTGTATACTTTGACACTAAATCTTTCAATTTGGGTATCATTAATTACTATAATACAATTAAACATTTTTTATACAATTTGTACTCAGTACATTTGGTAAACCGTACTCAACATTAACGCGAGGGCTATATGAACTGTAATAAAATAATACAAACGATATACTGGTAAAGTTTTAAATCCGTGTAACTTGTATTTTATGTTTTCTGAACATGTTAAATTTCGGAAACAATAGTTTTAGTAAAACAATACATATAGCTTTAAAACTGTTAGCTTAAACATTGAGGGCGTCAATTTCATTGTTTTAACAAGGAGTTGTAGAACTATGTCGTGTTTTACTATAAAATGCAAGGCAGGTCTATCCAACCCATTGACTCTTTTTCATGTGATTCATTTTATTATGTAGACTCTTACAAGGAATCAAAGAGCTAAGCGCATGTTTAAATCATTTTTTAAATATACTAACTACTAAGTGTACTAAAGACAAAGTATCTGTAGTCTGAGAGTATCTCTCGTTCTTTTATTCGCCATTTGAAAACAATTCGTACAAGATCATTGTACAAGAGGGTAAATGGAAAATTAAAATAGGAATTTTTCTTGATGAAAATATATTTTCTACCCCCAAGTCCAACTCTACCGAGGGTTGGTGCACTACTGCTGGTGAGGCGTTGCTCAGGGCGCCGGCGTCACCCCCCCCCCCCCGTATTGAGCCACCCCTCTATGTACCCCCCCCAATCATTATAACACATACCTGATCAACACTTTCTTAACCTATCCTACCCTGCTAACGATTTGTTTACCACTCGCTTGTCTACGATGGATCGAGGATGATAGTTTTGTGTCATGGGAGAAGAATCTCAGAGTAAATGGTTGTTGAATTACTCCTACTATAGTATAAACTAAGTACCTTTTGTCATCTTCAATCCTGTCTATAACAGTTGAACACTAATTCCGGAGTATTATAACTCCATTTTCAAATCTCATAAGATTGATTAAAAACTTAAAAATAGTCTACACAAACATAGATATGAATATGTTATAAATGGGACGAAATAATAAATATAACATTTTGGAAACATTATCGGGTGGCCTAATAGGCTACAATGATCTTGTTTAGACTCAACAAATGTACAAAATGGTTTTGACTCGACTTGCGTTTCATTAAAAAGGTTTCAAATAACATACCGAAGCTATTTAAGCCTGAATAAACTTTGATATACTACCATAAAGCACATAATATTTAATGTGCTCTATGTATACTGCAGTACAATTATTGAGTATATACAACATTTTTATCTCAAGCAAATTACTATTTACTATGTCTTTGATTTCAGGTCCTCGCCCCTAGATCGCCTCGAACTAAAATCCTCGTAGTTACCGAGAAATAAAATGTAAGTTTCAAACTCTATATAGCCACCAAAGAATTGTATGTCAACACAATTGTTCAAACCTAATGCCACTATGAGACATAATATCGGTAGAATTCAAATTTGATTTAACTTTACTACTGTATTATATTGGTTACTTAATTATCTTCACGCATGCCTAAGGCCCCTATGAACAGGCCAAAAGAGGCATCTTCAACAATTAACCTTTTTTTTATGATAACCCCTTTAAAAATAATTGGGTTTACATAACTTAGAAAAACCTATTGATACAAATTTTCACACCGTACCTTTTTAAAACTGTTGGTGAAGTGATATAAACCCTAGTTGACAATAACAAGGGGCAAAGTGCCAGTGCGGGTGGCGAACATCCAGCTGATGTATAAATCCTTTTAGAACTTTAAAATTGATTTATACACGTTTTTTATATTTTATACTTTTATTTCTCCATTGTTGTCTTTTATATTCTTTATTTATTCGTATGCATACAATTGTACAAAAACTTGACTTCGTAGAATATGAAGTAGAACACTTTTACTACAGTAGTTACTTTGTCTGTGCTTGGCAAATAGGTGAAAATACAGAAGTGAATATGAATGTGGTTCTTTAAAGCTACTGTATGTATTTTTACATACAGTTGCATACTTACCATGGAAAATAGAGGTAAAGTTCAATCATACTTGCTTATTATATTGAAGATCTCTTCTTGTATTTGTTAATAACATGTGAGGCAGAATCAATAACTAATAACTTAATCTTGACATAGACAATGTTTAAGAATCTAAAGTTTTACTCATGAGAAAAGTAAACAGACAGTTATGAATCAAACAAATGTGTGGCTGGCGGATTTAAATATAAATATTTTAAAGTGATTAAAATATTGGCCCTGTAATTGAGGTTCGTGCCCTAAAGGAAGGGTTTATCACAAACTGATATTTTTCAAAGAAACTCCTCATAAAGACCTTTTATTTTCAAATTCAGTTGATAGGTGTGCGACTTACGGGTTTGTCAAAAGCTCGTGTTCCTTATTAGCTTTCTATTATAAAAAAATATACCAGAAACAAATACTTCTTAGTATGAATAACTACGAAGAATAAATAAAAATTCGTCTAATAACACTTGAAACATATATTTACACTCATACTGTTTAAACGAGACAGTAACTTGTACTAGACACTTTGACAAAATTAATTGTAGAAATTATCCATCGTAACACATTTAATATCTACTTATTTCCCTGTAAACATCTACAGTAAACATATTAATTAGTGTTGCATAACGTCTTGTATTATACTAACAAAACAAACCAAGATCTATTTCAAGCGCTAAAAAGTGTTTACTTTTTTTACGAAAAAAAAACGTTAGCTAAAATATTTAAAACGCATAAAATGTAGAAATAGTCCTTCCTATTCCAAGAATACTATATCCTAAAAGTGAAAATCAAATCAAAATCAGTGTTATTCTACAATAATCGTAACCAAAACATAAAAGACCAAAAGTTGCAAAGAAGTACAGCTTGAAAAATAAAAAAATTGATATAAAGTTGTATGAAACTAAATAAATAATTTCAAATTAAAACCTTCTTAATACTGCCTTTAAACTAGCTTGTCTACAGACAAATTTGCCATCGTGGACCTCAGTTGTCTGAGCTCGAGTTGTTAAAAAAAATGTTTTTGTTAATAGTAAAACCTAGCTAGAAACAAAAATAAAACATCATTTACTTGAAAAACTACTTATTTAGATTTTTGCGTTAAACTATTTCAGATGACAAACTGAAAATCCCATTACCCAACTTGTCAATCTTTTAAGATCTAAAATTAACCCTTATAAATGATTGGTTGTATACATTCTCCTATTCACCCAACTCGATCCTCCCAACAAAGACGCTCCTAGCGGACGACTGACGCAACCGAGAACCAATAAAATAAAACCGTCCCCGCCCAAGGCTTGATCAACCGCGAAAATTGAAACCGTGCATAAAACGGTCTACAATATAATAATATGTAATTATAATGCCCCGTGCCCGTGGGATGAGTGAATGAATTAAAAAGCCGATACGGAGATAATTTTTGTCGCGGTGTCGTGCTCGTCCCGCCCCAGCCCGCGGCGTGGAAACAATACGGTCCGAAATGTTTATGGGACGGTCCGGCCGCGTAGGAAGACTGTGACAAGATCGGTGATACGATATAGAAAACCCGGGTATTGGTCTATAATACGACGGTGCTAGGTACGAAAATATCTCGGTGTCGCGGACCCTACGGTTTATCTTAACCTGTGAAGTAACTTTTCATCGGTCTCTATACAGTAATTTGTACTAGGTACGAGAGTGTCGATAATTAAACCTAGTATGACTTTGCCTAAACGTTGCGGTCCGAAATTTTCACGGTAACCACTTAACGAACTGTGACACGATCGAGTTAATATCGAATAAACAGGTATTGGCCCCTGGTAATATTTACTAGATACGGAAATGTGTTGAAGAACTAAACGGAGTACGATCCAGCCTAGTAAGCCTAAACAATATTGTCTGACGTTATAGAAAACGCATGTGTTGGTATTAGATAAAAAGGAAAGACAGTACTAGATGTGGAAATATTTAAAATAAACTTTTCGGTACTAGATTCGTAAATGTCTCCCCCCTAACATTAGTGGAGTGGTTAGTCCAGGGCCCTACGATGGGCTTATCCCAACTCCGCGCAGTGGTCAGAAATCTGTCAAAACCGACTATCCAACTCCGCGCAGTGGTCACTTCGGATCCCTCGCGGCACATGTCCAACTCCGCGCAGTGGTCAATTTTGGCTCTCACAGCCCTGACGGCTGAGAGTTTGTGTTTGAACTTTGAAATCGTGCTATACTTTATGTTATGTTTATCATTTATAGGAAAGTAAAGAGAAAAGATATACCTAAAACAGGAGATGAAGCTTAAAAACCACTAATATAAGAAGTTTTAAAAAGTCCGCTAGAAAGAGTGACTGTGAATATATACGTTCCAAATTCTACAATACTCACTCATTCATATTACTGGGCTTATGAGCTCTCTGAACTTTAGTACCAAGCTCATAAATATTAGTTTTGTATACAACCGCAGATTGCTATGACAAATTAGCTGTAATCTCTGTTTCATACAACAGTTAGCCACACACCTCAAATTGGAAAAAATGGCCGACAAACTTCTATGTTTTTTATGACTTGCAATACAAAATTATATCAATACTTAAAGCAGTATAGGAATTTTAACAAAACTTCAGACTTCAAAATTGACTTTATATTTAATTACTCTACGTACAAAATGTTCAAAATTCCAGGGCAAGTGAGCAAAAATTGGTCAAATTAATCATCGTTAACAAAAACATCGTGTATATTATTTACAGAACAAACAAAAAAAGAACAATCCATTTAAATATCTGGACTAAAAATAAAATACAAATTATTAGCCTACTAAAATTTTATAAGTAAAATATTTACAAATTTACAAAAGTTACACTTATTTCAAACCATAATAAATTTAAATGGGCTTGGTCTGTGGTAATAGGAAAGACTAATACTAGGTACTAAAATATCTAAAATGGTTTTTACCGTTACAAAGTATACGCAAATTTCTCGATTCTTAAAATCCATCTTAACGTAGATTGTTCTATCCTAAACAATAGGTCCGAAAAGTTTATTGGACGGTCTGGTCGCGTAAAATACAAAAATCGATAGTAACAATGTCCAATGGGAAGATATAAGTTGGTATAGGTATCTGGTAATATTTACTTGGTACGAAAATGCATGGAGGAACCAAACCTAATACGGTACATGCTAACCCAATATTTACATTCTAACTAGACCTATTAGACTTCAATCTTTTTACGTTGGTACTAGGGCAGATACAGACATACAGACAGAGATACAGAGATACAGACAGATACATACCGTAACTGTCGCCTTTCGTAATTAGACAAATGATTGAAAAATCTTTTGATGGCAGCTTTGTAATACAGCTCAGAATGGAGTATCAAGTCACTACTGGCTACTCTTTTCATGCAGATACGGTCAAGAGAAATATGTCCTATTTCGGTGTGACTTGTGTTACGACTGTTTGGAGGCACGAAATCGCTTGGAGTGAATTAAAATTTAGTCCTGTAGTAACACCCAGTTACATTAAAATTATGTATCTCTTGTAAACATATGTAATCTCCCACCCGGTTGAAAATTTGTTCACTAACCCAATTTTAATAAATACATGCTGTATAGATTATTTACTACAATCAAAATCGATTTTTACGAGTTCTTAAACCAAATAAATTATATTTACTAACATTTTTGTAGTAAATTTTAATGAAATTAGCTTAATACTCATTTCCCCCCAACAATAAACCTCCTCCCATCGATTGACACTTTATTGTCCCTGCGCAGGTGGCGGTTGCTCCTCTCGAGGTATTTAAAGAACAATTTATCGGAGACATTATTTTGTGGCTGACACTCCGACGATAAATCAGCTGTTCTTTATTTCACCGAGTTTCAATATCAGCTGTTAATACGCGGTTCGGTGGGCTCGTATATCATATCACACGGGCGATCATTGACAAATACCTGTCTGGAATCTAAACTGGTCTTTTTCGTATTGTGTTGTAATGTAAGTGACTGCTAAAACGTTATTGTTACAATTAAAGAATTAGTATTATGAAATGTTACTTGTAATTGACAAGCGAAATTAAATAAACAGTGCAATTGAGGAATAATTTGTAGCTACGGAGCACTGACTCTTTAGATTTGTGAGAACACATAAAACAGTAAAAGCCTCATCTATTATCACAAACTAATGAATATACGAAATTAAATATTATTGTTTTAGTGAATTAGCTGCGATGAACGTAGTAAATGTAAGAATAGTTTCTAAAATAATATCAGTAAAGACTTCTTTGTTTCCTCAAGAAATAATGAATTAAGTACAGTGCTCGAGGTTGGTCTATAACGATAAACAAGCAACCAATTGAGTTTATACGAAAAATATAAAAATAAAC